ACAACACAATGTTCATCTAACAGATCTCCTAAATCACTTAACTATTTTTAATTTAATTAATATGACTGATTCAAATGTACTTTCCCTAATCCCAGCGACACATATTATTTAATTAAATTATCTTAACTCCACTCTAACATACCTTACATAGGATTGACCTGCAACATCATAGATAATCTTTATACATAGAGTGTTAAACTTAAGTCTAAAAAACATTTAGAACTTATAACAATACAACCAACAACAACATGGACCAAATGACAAACTTACCTCTTGAACGGAAGGATCATAATTCCAAGGAGCTCAAAGAAACCATAGACCAGAAAGAAGAGGTCTATACAGAAGATAAGACCACAAAAGAAAGAAGTATATTCCCACACCACAAAATTTTTTTTTGTCAATTGAAAAAGATATGAAGCACTAACCAACAACAATTTCAACAAAAATTTGCCAAATCGAAAAGATGTACAACAGTAAGCAACAACTCTAACAATCTTTTCAATGGCGCCATTCAACTAGGAAAAGTCTACTGATTTGAGTCATTTCTAGACACAACCTGCAAAAACTCACGCACACCAGCATAAGTATGCAGAGAAGAATTATTCCGTGGAACATTTTCGTTGCCGATATAACAGCCATTTTCAGGGCTAAAATTTGCCTCATTACAAAGGAATTCCAATTTGGCATATAATTCCAATTTCATAAAACCACTATACCTAACTCGATCCTTTAAACCACCGATCACAATTACAAAACCACGTGATTAAAAGTGAACAGAATTATATATATGTCACAAAGACGTTACGATTTCTGAAATTTTTAGAGACAAACATACGTACACTTTGTACTAGGAAAACATTCGGACATAAAGAGATAAGAAAAATTAGATACTGAAACATAATTTGGTTAAATTGCAGAGGTGCCTAACACAATATTGGCATTAAGGCAGTTGACAAGCACAGCTGGACAGAATTTGACATTCGTACGGCTACGCGTTTGAGGGAGTAAACAACAAGAGTGTTTGGTGCCACCCTCCCTAGGTCTCTTTCCTCCTTTACCACCTCCTAATTAATTAAAAAATGCAATAAGCGCACATGAAATCCGGTGTTGTTGTGATTCCTTTCCTGAAACCCCAGACCAATTAAAAAGCCCGGGCAACGGGCAGTAAACAGTCGCGAAACCACATCGTTCGCATATGCGACTCTAATTAGTCATCATCATCATCATCATCATCATCATCATCATCATCATCATCATCATCATCATCATCATCATCAATAACGTCATTCCACATTGAATAATTTAACAATGGCTACAAACCATATAAAAAAAAATGTTTAAATTGCAGAATGTGGTAGATGATATTGGAATGGTAGAATATATGCTGGTCATATTGGAGGATGGATGTTATGCCCCCACCGTGTAAAGATGGAGGTTAACAATTTAATGAAGGCTAAGGAACGATTGGGAGAAGTAATCAAGGAGGAAAAAGAAGAAACTGAGAACAAAGAGGAAAAGGAACAGATAAGAACTTACAAAGAAAAAATTGATGAAAGAAGAAGAAAACGATACCAGGAAACAAGAGGAGGAAAAGTAAAAGGGTGAGAAGAAGGATGAGAAAAAAGAGGAAAAAGACGACGAAATGTTGATGGAGAAGATGAGAAGTTGGTGGAGGAGAAGAAGAGAGACAAAATAAAAAAAAGTTGAAATGCCCTTTTCAGAGTCCCTTTTTTATCCCGAAAATATGTATATTCTCTCTTGCCTAAAATATTTTAGTCAATGCTTTGTGTAATAGATTTGTCCGTAAATCTATGTATGTCTATGTCTCTAACCCAGTCTCTAACCACAAGTACCGTGAGGGAAAGTTGAAAACAACTTTGAAGAGAGAGTTCAAGAGTACGTGAACAACCATCAGATCAACCTATTTGTTACTAGAGTAGCGTGTATTCAGGTCAACCCCTTGCCACACTGTTCCGCCCGATTTCATTTTGTCCTTATAGTACAACGACCCTGTCTGTAATGCTAATTCCCATTGTCCCTACAAATCTTGCCCCTACAACGCACTGTATGAACTTATTAATTGTAATAACAATTCTTATCTTTTATAATAGATTTGACACCTGTTGATCCAGTCAAAAATGAAAACAGAAGAAAATTATGGATTCTGATATTTTGCAGTTAGGCATAATTAAAATGTACCTACAATTTAATTTCGTGAGTTTTGATAAACTTTTCTGTTTTTTTTAAACACTTCGTTTTTCAAATGTTAATTCACCAGATTAGCTACTTTCTTTTCTATCTTCTTCATTTTGTTTATTTCCAAGCATTATTCATTCATAATAAATCAATCCACTTTGTTTCACAAATCTTATTGTACACTTTGTACACACATTACACACTTTAGAATACATATCCCAAACCCAGTAGTCATATGATGCATTGTCCATTTATATGTTAATATTTCTGTAACATGTCTCGAAAACAGCTTTCTAGCTTTTCTTTCTATGCCTTAAAACGTTATAATTTTTGTATGGTTGCTCTGAATATTGACTTCTGCATTTCGTGCAGGCCTAAATGTTTTGTACTTATATGTATGAGTATTTCTAGTTAAACATTAGATAATTTGTGCCCGGTTCCTTGCATTCTAGTATGTTAGTTAACTCTAACGATAAGCAATGGTAATGGCATAACATTATTAATACAGATATTAATAATCTCCATTTTCTTACTTTTGTTGCTCATTCATTCAATATTCCATTGCTTTATTAAACTGTTGCTCATTTTGAAAAGCTGTGAATAAGACATGCTTCCTTCAATTGTAATCACTATTTTAGTTTAAGTTGAATCAAAATTCTTTCCACGTGCAGCCCTGGTGGGGTTTTTCTGCATAGTAACAATAGCTAGCCTATGCAATGTCTTTCTTGGTGAATCAAGTATAAAATTGATTTATGTTGCATTAGCAGCATTATCGTCTAATTATTAATATGATACGAAAGATAATTCATTTCTATATGTGGTGTTGATAGAGGTAGTTATTACGCTGGATGTAACTGGATAGCAATTATGATACGTTTTCTAAAACATTTTATTAATTAGTACCATATAAAAGTTAATAAAATGTCTCTATTAAATTTGTCTATATATCTTATTGAGATAGAACCATGGATACAACGAGCAACAACCTGTCCGTATCTGAAAATCAAGTGGTTTCCAGCCTTGTCATATAATGTCATGTTGTGGGAGAAAATTTGATAACAGTTCCTACCCAGTGTCATACATGTCTTCTGATAGAATTTGTAATTCAAAGTAGTTCGTATAATGTCAATACTTGTTTTATGATATTACAACTTTAGACCGATTGCGAAACAAAAATTTACCTCTCCTTGACTTAGCCATTGCGTTACCGTCAAATTTGCGGTTACTTTAAAGAGAACCTGAGAAACTATGTTTTGCAGACGGAAATGATGTCACCGGTCGGCTTAGGCTTAGAGATCAGAAACCCGACAAATTATAAGGAATCAGTACTTCTACCCCAGATAGTTTTCAGAGACCACCGATATCCAATCAGAACCAAGATAGTCAAATTTTCTGCGGGTTTCTAAGGTAGCCAGCCTTTCTTCTGTTACATTCACTGGGTAACAATCAACGCACGTTAATACGTGGAATGAGTTCGTAGACACTAGAGTGCACTTCGAGAGCAAAGGAGGCGCTCGTAAAAAAGAGCGGGAAAGGAGTTCTAGGAACTTTGGACCAGATTTGGAACAAAGGCTTCTGAGGTTAAAGATCCTCGCTTGAATTTGTCTCACTTTCTCAATTAGGCGTCGTAAGGTTTACTTATTATTAGGTGCAATTAATTTAGTAGAACTTTAGTCTTCATTGCAAAGCTGAACAATGTAGCGTATAGCAAATTAGTAATATTTAAGATTAATGCATGTGGTTATTAGGTACAATCGAAGTGGATGGTATAATCTGCTACGCTGTTGCATCGTGGTCCATGACTGAAATGAATAGTGAGTAATGTTAGACCATGTACTTGTTTGTATTTAAATATATATTTGTGGATTGAAACATTTTTAGAACTTGTTGGCCTTGTGCACGTGTGATTAAATATTTTAATTTGGATGTGTCTTTCATCATTTGTTAGGCAGGAAATGCGTAGGAATATTGTTGATGTTGGTAGTTTACTGTATCAAGAATTTGGGATATGCCTATATGAATCAAAGTCATGATATCATTTTTTTTGTTATAGCCTTATTATAGAACAAGTGTATGTGGGATATTTAGATGCGGGTGCATGAGTTAACCTAATGATTTAATAGGAACTTAGCCGTGACGTCATAGGGTATGATCACATGGGGGATACCCTAGTCTGGCTGGCAGAAAGACCATATGCTTACTGTACATTCTATTCAATACGCTTGTTTACAAGAATATATATTAACAGTGAATTTTTTTGCAGTAATCATTGATCAGGATATTTTTATACCAAAACATGCAATTAAAGCACTTCGAAGCCAATACACTAACCCACCTTAAATAAAAGTTTCCACGATGGAACCACGATAAATTGTATCGTTTTGTCGTTGATAAAACAACATTAAACAATTCTCTTTTCAGCTACTTGTTCACATAACCTTTTATCAACAAAGAAAATGTAAAGTTCAATAATAAACCCGACAACAAAGTGCATCTCCTTCTCCTATTTCTGCATCATGGGTTTATGATAACGATGACGACGTGAAACGGATAATTGTCCATATGTAATGCGATTGTGATTTTTAAAGTAGCTTTAACAATTCTTCAGTCATATCGCTACGATGTCTTCAGCGTGGCAGTATATAGTGATGTCTAGCACTGTGGCATCATGCCGCAGACATGTAGCATGATGTCCCACCCAGTCACATTATTCTGACACCAGACAGACCAGTCGTAACATTAACCTCTTAATGCTGAGGATCAAGCGAAGCAGCTGTTAGTACCATTTTTGCAAGTCTTTGGTATGACTTGACCGGAAATCGAATCCACGACCTCCCGCATCCGAGACAGACGCTCTAACCACTAGGCCACCGGTGCAGTGATCATTATCCATAGTAATTACGTACTAAGGAAACGAATTTAGACAAGTTTCCGTTTGATGAAAATTTATGCGAGTGTCATATCATTAATTTTGATGACATAGCTGGCTTAACTTCCACAATTTATGTTTGACAAATTTTTGATATTGTCTTGGACATGCGATGAGAATGTATGCATTTCTTCACAGTTATGAAATCTTATTATATGAACAATACGATTTTGTTTTGTTGAAGACATATGTTCCTGATTCATTTGTTTTATTTTTAATTTAGATAGTATATTTTCAGTTTATATGGTTATATATTGATATTCCATGACTTTAAACATTTGTGATAATTCATTTTAATACAATACAATACAATACAATATATATATATATATATATATATATATATATATATATATATATATATATATATATATATATATATATATATATATATATATATATATATATATATATATATATATAAGATTAGTTTGTGATTCACTGATCTAGTTGTTGTAATGGTGTATGAGACTTTCTTGTTTTTTTAATTGCACAATTATATATAACTTATATTCAATAAAATTTAAATTTAAATCCCGGCCATAAAACTGGCAAGGCATTTTTATATAATTAAACGCCTTTTAAAATATCTTGCAAAATGATGTTTAACTAATACTATTAGAAATATCTATATGATTTTGACATAATACTATTATTAATATCTATATGATTTTTACAGTTATTCGGTAATGTACAAATTTGAAATAATATGTAGTAAATCTAAAAATATTTTGACTTTCAAAATCAGTCACAAAATATATCAGATTCATTAGTTATCTATGCACCGCTTTGAATATGAAGTCCTATAGTTATCTATGCACCGCTTTGAATATGAAGTCCTAATAAGGCAGGTTTGTAGTGTAATATGAAGTCCTAATAAGGCAGGTTTGTAGTTTGTTATTCATGCTGTGCAAGTATTATGAAAAGTTTTTAAACTTTTGAATCGTGTTTTAAACACATAATATACATAGTAATTGCGTAATCCTTGCTAATGTTTATTATATTTTTATTGACATAATATACATTTCAATCATTGAAAAAATCTATTTTGGTGTCATTTTTTTTATCGTTCGTGTAATAAAATAATTTTGTTTTCTTGTCATTTTAAATGTTGTAATAATTACGAAAGCATGTCACTTCAATGGCGTTATTGATTACCACATTTGTTTTATTGGACGGACTTTCTATTGCTATGTTAACATGATCTGCCATTCATGAAGATTTGCCAGGAGAGCATGAAAGGGAGAGGAAGGCTAGCAATACTCTAGTTTTTTTTTCAATCCTCTTTGATCATTAGAAATTTCATTTCTTTCTGTAGTCTTTCCAACATCGCCTTCTCTTTAATTTTCGTTAATGGTCTTCTAACAATTTATTTTTCATTTCATAAATATGGACTTTTATATTGCTTACATTTCATAAATATGGACTTTTATATTGCTTACATTATCGCTAATAAGAGTGTTATCTTCTTGTATGTATTATCCTCAGTAATCATATACCCAGACTCCTTATGAGTAACACTCGTTTTTTGTAATTGCATTACTTGTATGTATTATCCTCAGTAATCATATACCCAGACTCCTTATGAGTAACACTCGTTTTTTGTAATTGCATTACTTGTATGTATTATCCTCAGTAATCATATACCCAGACTCCTTATGAGTAACACTCGTTTTTTGTAATTGCATTACTTGTATGTATTATCCTCAGTAATCATATACCCAGACTCCTTATGAGTAACACTCGTTTTTTGTAATTGCATTACTTGTATGTATTATCCTCAGTAATCATATACCCAGACTCCTTATGAGTAACACTCGTTTTTTTGTAATTGCATTACTTGTATGTATTATCCTCAGTAATCATATACCCAGACTCCTTATGAGTAACACTCGTTTTTTGTAATTGCATTACTGACTATATTATAAATGTTGTTTAATTTATTTATGCCACGAATATCGATATCATCATGTTTTATAACTTTACCGTATATCAGGTTTTCTTAGAGAACTTTACTTAGAATCCCTAGAAAATCTCTCTAATCTCTTATTGCTGTTACTAGAATCTGTTGGTGTGTAGTATTATATTACATCGTTGATAATGAATACATTAGGATATGTTGGTGTGTAGTATTATGTTCCATCGTTGTTAATGCATACCTTAGGATCTATCGGTGTGTAGTATTATATTACATCGTTGATAATGAATACATTAGGATATGTTGGTGTGTAGTATTATATTCCATCGTTCATAATGAATACCTTAGGATCTATCGGTGTGTAGTATTATATTCCATCGTTGATAATGAATACACTAGGATATGTTGGTGTGTAGTATTATATTCCATCGTTGATAATGAATACCTTAGGATCTATCGGTGTGTAGTATTATATTACATCGTTGATAATGAATACATTAGGATATGTTGGTGTGTAGTATTATATTCCATCGTTGATAATGAATACCTTAGGATCTATCGGTGTGTAGTATTATATTACATCGTTGATAATGAATACATTAGGATATGTTGGTGTGTAGTATTATGTTCCATCGTTGATAATGAATACCTTAGGATCTATCGGTGTGTAGTATTATATTACATCGTTGATAATGAATACATTAGGATATGTTGGTGTGTAGTATTATGTTCCATCGTTGATAATGAATACCTTAGGATCTATCGGTGTGTAGTATTATATTACATCGTTGATAATGAATACATTAGGATATGTTGGTGTGTAGTATTATGTTCCATCGTTGATAATGAATACATTAGGATATAACGGTGTGTAGCATTTTATTCTATCGTTGATAATGAATTGATTAGAATCTGTCGGTGTGTAGTATTATCTTCCATTGTTGATAATGAATGCATTAGGATCTATGGGTGTGTGGCAAAATATTCCATCGTTGATAATGAATGCATTAGGATCTATGGGTGTGTAGCAAAATATTCCATCTTTGATAATGAATACATTAGGATATGTTGGTGTGTACCATTATATTCCATCGTTGATAATCAATGCATTAGGAACTATCGGTGTGTTATCTTCCATCGTTGATAATGAATGCATTAGGATCTATCGGTGTGTTATCTTCCATCGTTGATAATGAATGCATTAGGATCTATCGGTGTGTCATCTTCATTCGTTGATAATGGATCCATTAGGATCTATCGGTGTGTTATCTTCCATCGCTAATAATGGATCCATTAGGATCTATCGTTTTGTAGTGTAGCATTATGTTCCATCGTTGATAATGAATGCATTATGAACTATCGGTGTGTTATCTTCCATCTTTTATAATGGATCCATTAGGATCTATCGGTGGTTATCTTCCATCGTAGATAATGGATCCATTAGGATCAATCGGTGTGTTATCTTCCATTGTTGATAACGAATGCATTAGGATCTATCGGTGTGTTATCTTCAATCGTTGATAATTGATCCATTAGGATCTGTTGTTGTGTTATCTTCCATCGTTGATAATGGATCCATTAGGATCTAGTGGTGTGTAGTGTATCATTATGTTCCATCGTTGATAATGAATACATTAGGAACTGTCGGTGTGTTATCTTCCATCGTTCATAATGGATCCATTAGGATCTATCGGTGTGTTATCTGTCATCGTTGATAATGAATGCATTAGGATCTATCGGTGTGTTATCTTCAATCGTTGATAATGGATCCATTAGGATCTGTTGGTGCTTTATATTCCATCGTTGATAATGGATCCATTAGGATCTATCGGTGTGTCATCTTCGTTCGTTGATAATGGATTCATTAGGATCTATCGGTGTGTTATCTTCCATCGTTTATAATGTTTCCATTAGGATCTATCGGTGGTTCTCTTCCATCGTAGATAATGGATCCATTAGGATCTATCGGTGTGTTATCTTCCATCGTTTTTAATAGATCCATTAGGATATATCAGTGTGTTATCTTCCATTGTTGATAACGAATGCATTAGGATCTATCGGTGTGTTATCTTCAATCGTTGATAATGGATCCATTAGGATCTGTTGGTGTGTTATCTTCCATCGTTGATAATGGATCCATTAGGATCTATCGGTGTGTAGTGTAGCATTATGTTCCATCGCTGATAATGAATACATTAGGAACTGTCGGTGTGTTATCTTCCATCGTTGATAATGGATCCATTAGGATCTATCAATGTGTTATCTTCCATTGTTGATAACGAATGCATTAGGATCTATCGGTGTGTTATCTTCAATCGTTGATAATTGATCCATTAGGATCTGTTTGTGTGTTATCTTCCATCCTTGATAATGGATCCATTAGGATCTATCAATGTGTTATCTTCCATTGTTGATAACGAATGCATTAGGATGTATCGGTGTGTTATCTTCAATCGTTGATAATGGATCCATTAGGATCTGTTGGCGTGTTATCTTCCATCGTTGATAATGGATCCATTAGGATCTATCGGTGTGTAGTGTATCATTATGTTCCATCGTTGATACATTAGGAACTGTCGGTGTGTTATCTTCCATCGTTGATAATGGATCCATTAGGATCTATCGGTGTGTTATCTGTCATCGTTGATAATGAATGCATTAGGATCTATCGGTGTGTTATCTTCAATCGTTGATAATGGATCCATTAGGATCTGTTGGTGCGTTATATTCCATCGTTGATAATGGATCCATTAGGATCTATCGGTGTGTAGTGTAGCATTATGTTCCATCGTTGATAATGGATCCATTAGGATCTATCAGTGTGTAGTATTATGTTATATCCTAGATTATGAATGCATGTCAGGTTCCCGCTTCTTTTCAATTTTTCTATGAGTTTTGTAACTTGTGAACTTTTATCTCCTTTATTAATTTTGCTCCCTTTAGATTTACTCACCTTAATCACCGGCTTAGATTTCTCAAACATGTTCCATTATGAGCACTTGTTTAATTATTGAGAACCTGTTC